AGACCCTTCGTGACCTTATGAGTCGGGAGTTCAGGTTTATTTCAAGAGTACTTGGGAAACCAAAGAAGGATGTTAAGCAGAGAAGTAAAAGTCTGATATGGTTCAGGAGCGTATTTTGCCACTGTCTGGAGTGTAGCTGAGCAGTGCAAAGTGGAAGAGAGAAGACCAGCTGGAACTACAGCTGAGCCGTCCCAGAGTGACCGGGGCAGGACCCAGGGGTTCCTCTTGGAGAGGAGACTTATCTTCAAAATGACTGGAAATAACGAGGCATCAGAACAGCTTCATTTCCTTACCTATCCCATTAATGGAGGCAGCTCACCTCACAGGTACATATTCAAAGTTTACTTATTCATTAACAGACAAAGATCTCTGCCTTCATAAAGCTTACAGATAAAGACTCATGAAATTAAATGTATATAGATTTATACTGGGAATATTAGAAAATTAATAATGCTATAGGACACAGAAAAAAATACTCAATGGACAATCTCCTGAATACTTTGCTTTTGTGATGACTGAGTTCCTCTTGGGAATTCCTTTCGGTGTTGCTCTCCCCACACGCACACTTCTGTGGACGTGGGGTTGCTGTGAGCGGCTGGGGCACCTGATAATCCACAAAGACAGGCAGTAGATAAGGTGTTCTCCAGCCTTTCTGTAGAGAGCTGGTGACACCCGAGGACCCAGTGTGGCAGGCAGCACAGGTGACTGTGCGAGTGGGCACCTGTGAGGACAGAGCGTGGCCTGTGCGTGGCTGTGCTGGGATTCAGAAAGGGGGACAGAGTCACATCCTGGCCAGGTGGTCCTGAGCACAGGAGAGGCAGTGACCGCATATTTCCCTTTTATTCCCCACAGACACCCTCACAGAGCACATTCTCCCTGGTGCACAAAGACCACTATTGGCTGCGCGAAACTGCAGCCACCGAGCAAGTTCATCCTACAGCCTCACTGCTCTGCTGGGAAAGTCTTCCCCAGGGACCTCGACTGTCATCTCCCTTTGGTTCACTTCAAAGTCATACAAAAGGTCAAGTCTGGTTTGGTTCCGTGGGCAGAGGTGTCTCCTAAGTTGAGTCCTCTCTCCGTCCCGTGACCCTGTCTGCCACACACTTCACCGGTGACATTTGGTATGGCAGTTAGACTCGATTTCCTTTGTCGCGTTTTCTCAGTATTACAGGCAGCAGCTATTATGTTATTATCAGTCATCTTGAAAGAAAGCACTTGCGTGTCAGAGCACGATATGTACATTAACAGACGATGACAGCCAGCTGCGCCTAGTGCACATTCATCAGCCTCAGGATTTTGACTCACCGTAGCTCCAGACATCGCTTTGGTGAGTGTAAATTCGGTGTAAAATTGATTCCAAAGCCATCCACTTGATAGGCACCTTGGGATGACAGGAGATAACGCAGTAAGACAACTATTAGCTTCCCTCTGTTGAAAATAATCAAATCATGCTGGGATAATTACGAGTGAAGGCTGTGGGCAAGCCAGGCCGCCCCTACCGCCTGGGCCCTGCAGCCTGGTGCTCTCCCCCTGCAGAAGGAGATTTTAAATCAGGCAGAGAACAGGCATGCTCTGGGAGGCCCCAGACTCAGTTCTGTGAGTGCCACAGCTGAGGACCTCTCGTATAACTTCGTATAATGTATGCTATACGAAGTTATTACGCTCATCAGGGCTGCTCAAACTTCAATGTGTATGAAAGCCACCTGAGATCGTTTTAAACTAGAGATTCTAATCTAGTAGGTCTGAGGTGAGGCCCGAGAGTCTACTTTTCTGAAAAGGCCCCAGATGAGGCCTGTGCTGCTGGCTGCAGACCACGGGCAGGCAGCAGGGCCCCAGCCAGCAGTCCTGACCTGCACAGTTCTCTGCATGACAGAGATGCTCTATATCTGTGCTCTTCAGTATGGTGGCCACTGGCCACTTGTGGGTGTTGGACGCTTCAAATGTGTGAGGAAGTGAATTTTATATTTTATATCATTTTAATTAAAATTTAAGTAACCTCATGTGGCTAGTGGCTTCTGTACTGCAGTGTGGCTTCAAGCTTGATCACGCATCAGCATCAGTTGGGGGAGGCAGGTTCAAACCCAGATTTTTGGCCTTCAACCCCAGGGATCCTGGTCTGGCAGGTCTGGGGTAGAGGCCCGAGAATGTGCATATCTAACAAGGTGCCAGGCAATGCTGATGCTGCTGGTCTGTGAACCACACTCTGAATGGCACTGAGATGTGTGGCAGTTAATTGCTGGCCTTAGGGTGGGATCAAAGAAACCACCCAGGGAAAAAACCATACAGGAAGAAAAATCAAGATTATTTGGGTTAAGTTGGACATTTTCTGTGTACAATAGAGCCACGATACAGAACTGTTATTCAATTCTAGTTTACAAGGTGTTCATACATACCCCATTTCTATCAATGCATGCCACCGTGGAATTGTTACTGGTCGCGCTCTGAAAAAGAAACAGAGAAGTTCTCGTGGTGGGCTCGTACGTTCTCCCCCACCCCACCAAATGCAGCAGGTGGGTCTCGTGGAGTGGATGTATTTGAAGGTGCTTGTTTTTTGTCCAAAATCATTACCTCTAGATAAACTAGGTTTAATTTTAATTTAATTTTGTTCCTTACCAGAACTAAAAGGATTATAATCAAATTATTGCACTACAATAAAATGCTTCATTCACTTGATTCATTCTGATTCTGGCTTTATGATTTGGCCAAAATTTACTTCTTTGTCTCTATGTGAGTTCCACTACATGGTTGTCATTTTCTCCAAAACTCAATTTGTTCAAACTGGACACAGCTTGAGGGAGAGAGAGGGAAGTTTCGTACCAGAGAGCTGAGGAGGGGGGTCCGCGATGTGGAGGGGCTGCTGAAGAAGCCCTGCTGGGGGATGAGGTACTCGTCAGCGTCCACCACGTCTTCCATGTCCTCTTCGTCCATCAGGGCTCGGTAAAAATTGGAATCGGTCGGGCTCGGCAAATGCATTCTTTCATCCCCCTGGTGCAGAGATTGAGACCATCAGAAAGGCCCACGAGACATTATTCCACTTCCTGGCTCTAGGGGTAGGGGTCTGCTGCCAGCAGGTGCCTGTATGTTTGCCATCTACTTATAAAAAAAATCCCCCCGGCTCTCTGAAGTATAGCTGCTTCCCCCAAACTGCGTGTGGGTGCCGTTGAGTAAAACTTAAAAGAGGTTTTTGATGTCTAAAGGCCTCTGCATGAAATGCAAGCAGCTCAAGTGGGAGCAGAGAGGAGAGCGGCACCACTCACTGGGTGTGCCCTGTACCGTTAGGGGCCATGCGGTGCATTCTGCATGTATTCTCTCACTGAGTAGTTAAAACAAGCCTGCAGGCTGGCTTTTGTGATTCCCATGTTAGGTCAGGAGATAGGTTGATAAGTTCAGTGGAGAGTCTGGGATTTGAAGCCTGGTATGCTGACAACAAAGCCTTGCTTCTGCAGGAGGCAAAGCTAAGTCTCTGACAACTGAAATGTGAAATGACATGTGGAATGAGTGTGGGAAGCCATATCTGGAGATGACATGACAGGGATGGTGAAATGGAGTGGGGCGGTTACCACTAATGAACCCTACTGAGTTTACCATCTGGCCTGTGCCTTCACTGAGGCTCGCTTCAGTGCACTGGAGGGTCTACAAGGTGACCCGTGTTGGCACAGGATGAAGCACAGAGCCCTAAGTTGCTAAGAGAGGGGCTCTTTCCAGTGCAGGTGCAGACCGCAGTCTCTACCTGGATGACAAGGTAGCGCTGGGGGTCTCGGGCCATTTTGGAGAACTCGATGATCAGCTCACGGAACTTGGGGCGACTATCTGCATCGATCATCCAGCCTGGGGAAGGAATGGGAAAAACAGCACGCTTAGAACCCCGGAAGGAACGATAAAGACAGCACTGCTTGAAGAAGGCGTGTACGATGTGCTCCTTCTGGGCAAATAAACGATGAAGAAACCTAATCTTTGTGATAGACTCTTCTGTCTTGGCAAACTAGCACCGGTTACTGTTGAAACCATGACAACACAATGTATTTGGACCAAAGTAAAAACAATGTCCTTTAATTGTTCTCTCTGCTCTTCCTAGGGTCTGTGTCCCTGCACAGTCCCCATGAGAGATTTGGCAGTGGTCCCTTGTGCTGCTGCTCTGTGGATTCCTCTGACTGTAGGGCCTGGTGTCCAGGCTTTCTGTCAGAGTCCTCACGGATATTCACCCTCAACAGCCGTTCAGGCTGGAAACCAGAGGTGATTTAGAGAAATGTAAAGGCTGCGAGGAACACGGGGTGGACCTCCCCATCCTGGTGCTTTCACTGCGTTGCATACTCAGTAATTGTGTGTGCAAGCGAGAGGGCTGGCTGCCCCAGGCAGGGCCTGCCTTAGCAGGACACTGGTGTTAACCATGCCAGTAAATCTGATTGCACAATAATTTAAATCTGGATTAAGCAAGTGGGAGAAACAGCTATCAACTGAAAATCCTCATGCCTCTTCAGCCCAGGCAGGGCCTGCCTTAGCAGGACACTGGTGTTAACCATGCCAGTAAATCTGATTGCACAATAAATTAAATCTGGATTAAGCAAGTGGGAGAAACAGCTATCAACTGAAAATCCTCATGCCTCTTCAGGGTTCACGTTTATTTTCCATCAGCAGGATGTCAAGCTATTTTAGGCCACACTGCTATGTGACCTTATACAAATCATGTGACTTCTCGGGATCCCAGCTCCCTCAGCCCAACCCAAGGAAGTTAAAATAGATTAGCTCTGTGATCTAAACTTCAAATGGCATTAATATTTACACTAATATGGCTCTGTCTTACTCCCCATGCAACCTTCTCATGCAAATGCTATCACATGTGCAGTGTTACCTTTGGAGCCTCCGGCACTTGTGATTCTGCTGGAATGATCCAAATTACATACTAATTTGCATTAAAATTTTTAAACGCTACACTGCAGAAGACCTCACATAAATACATGGTTAAAAGGTTTAAGTCAAAGCAGAAATGTTGATCCTATTAGCCTCGTGGTTAACTCATTGTTAGGCATTTAAAAACATCCAGTTTCTCTGGAAACAGGCTTCACTATGTGGGGTGGCTCTGTATTTCATCAAGCAACCCAGAAAATAGAGTAACTTGGGGTAAAGGCTCATGAAGACTGATTTTATTTGTCTTTTTATGTGACATTTGCCAAACACGGGCAAATGTCAGGTCGCTGAGCTGAGCATGTGCTTTCAGGAGAAAGCTTGCAGGGGTGTTAATGGATGTTCTGGACTAGTGTCCTGCCTTAAAGAATGTGGTGGCATTTCTCCAAGGAATCAGTGGCTGAGAGCCACAGCACCCTTCCAAGCACAAGGCAATCTGAGTGCCAAGGTCCTGCCATGTGGTGTGGATGGCCTTGCCGGTCACTCACACTTGACCATGATCATGTAGACGTCGATGGTGCATATGGGCGGCTGTGGAAGGCGCTCTCCCTTTTCCAGGACAGACGAGATCTCGCTGGCAGGAATTCCATCATAAGGCTTGGACCCGAAGGTCATCAGCTCCCAGACAGTGACTCCTGAGAGAAGGAAACCAGCAAAGAAAGTGTCACTGTGTGGGTCAATAATAGCACAGCACCTTGTCTGCAGCTATCACCATTGGTTAACGCTCTCAGGGCTTAAAACCTACGTGTCTATAGCTCCTATAGCTTTGGGCAGTTTACTTGACTGCTGGGAACCTCAGTTTACCTCTCTATAAAATAGGATAATAACAGTACCTGTTTCATGGGATGGCTGCGAGGATCAAACAAGATAATATGTTGAGCACAATGCCTGGCAAAAAGTTGACCAATACATGGTAAAACTTTAGTGATAACAATAAAGATGGCAATGACAGTTCTAATAATGTGACTCCTGCACACGATGGGGCAGGAGTCACACACTCCTACACTTGCCCTAAGTGACCAGTACCTATGGAAGTGCAAAGATGGAGATTCTGAACAAGGCTGTAAACTGTATATTTTTAAATAATAAAAAGGTTGGAAACAAAGGAGCATATGTTCCTTTGATAAACATAGAAACCTCACGAAATCCATCAACTATCATGATGAACCCAAATCAAAGCAGTGATGATTTTCGATCAGTTTTGCAGATGCCCAGCACTCTGATGGTCCTCCCGTCCCCACGGGCACACACTGAGGGGGCCTGCGTTCTCCTCGGTCCTGTCGTTCCCACCTGGACTCCGTGGGCAGGGGTCATGGACACGGGGACTGGCAGTGTGTCCTACTTCCTGCTCTCTTCAGAAGTGGCCTCTGGATACATATGACGATGGACCTGCTTGCGTTTTCCAGAAGCCATTCCAAAGCCAAACTACCTGAATGAATGTATAGGGTGCAAGTCTGACAGTGGAAGGAGCAACAGTCCAGGGCAGGAAGACGGACTCTTCGTGGCTTTTGCCCCCACGTAGTCAATATGCACTCGGTGAAAGGCCGTCTCCTTTACAGATCTAAGAAGTCCACTAACTCCTACTTAACTAGGTTTTTAAACATGCACAATGAATCTTGTGGGAAGGCAGAGTTTTTAGGTTTTGGAATAAACGGTGAGAGAGCAGGAAGCATGTGTAATTGGCGGTGGGTCAGGACGGGATTGAAGGTAACGTGCAGAGTTCTCTCTCTTTTTAACTCCTTAGTGGAACACGCTGGGTGCCTAATTGATTAAAATGAATATTTCACCACTGCTAGAGACTAGAGAGTGCAATAACAGGACATGTTTTTTAACTAAAAATTCAGGCTCCTGGTAGAATAATTCCAGTGAACTGCCAGGGCCAGCAGGTTATAATCACTAACAAAATAAACTACCAATGAAAAACGACCACTGCAGTGACGCTGGTTTCTGATACTGGTTGTGATCACTCACAGGTGTTCAGTCACTGAATTCTAGACAGCTTTTTTTTTTTTTTCTTTTTTGTCTTTTTTACTGACCGGTAACGGGATCGCAACCCTCGGTGTTGCGCCCACACCAC